CTGGGTTGGGCTTTGGGGCGTTTGCGGCCGTTGGAGCCGTTGCCGCCGGAGCCATGCACTCGCTCGGGGAGGAGATCCGCAGCTTCTCGAGGGCCAACCTGCGGAAGCAGTGCACCAGGGTGACGACGCTGACGGGGAAGAGGATCATCGAGACGTGGCGCGGTGCGTGCGTGCAAGTGGTGGAGGAGACGGCGCCCGGCGATGGCGGCGGCTGCGGCTACGTACCCGATCTCAGCGCCGACCTGCAGGTCGGCGTCGTGCGGCCCTGGCTGCTGCTGGGTGAGTGGGGCGCGGGGCCGTTGGCGGGGCCCGCGGGGGCACGTGTGCCTCGCCTCACAGTAACAGTTAATCGTAGGCAGTAAATATTCACTCTGCTCGTTACAGTCAGTGGGCTCTAGGGGTCTCTGACAACTGTTACTGATTGCTGTGGACTGCTTGACAGTGTGATACTATGTGCTACGAAGTGATATTTCACAGGGTAACAAGCTCGCTATCTTTCTAGGGTCACAGGATGCTGCTCATGATCTGGAGACAATGAAGAAGCATAAGGTAACACTATGTAGCAATAAAAACATACCTCACATAGTGCTTGTTAGTGTATTTCTTTAAGTCGGAAAAGTCTTAAAATTATGCATTCTCAGGGTTTAAGGACAATAACAGTACATGTGTACTTTTAAAAGGCTGCTACCCCTAAAGCAGCTCCATTCACAGATGGATGGATGTGTGTGAGTTTTACAAGAAGTTGAAATACTTTGCTGCAAGACTTGTGATGGTTTAGTGCTATTTATAGAATAGATTCTGGCCTTGCCATGCCATATATGTTTTTCTTAAGTGTCAGATGCGAAGCAGAATCAAACCTACTTGCTTTTATGGGAATGGTTAAAAGGAGAAACACAAAGCAGTAACTCTTAAGTCTGTCCTGAACATCCATCTTTTTACTCTTCTCTGTCAGGGTAATGAGGTGATATGACCTTCAGACCATTGTGCTTCTGCAGGACAGGGCGTGCACTGACCTGGCATCCATTGCCATCTAAATGTCACTTCGACGTACATTAAAATAATCCATGACTTCGCCATACCTTGAACAGAGCAAAGATGGCAGGAAGCCAGATTTGCTCTTTTCTGCCAAGTGCAAGTATAGTTTACTCTGAAATTCTTGTGCTCCAATAAACATTACTGGTAAGTCAGGAGAAGGAATGTTACTTCGATGGGTTAGAGCAAGCTTTAAAATTTGGGGAATTATGGGGTGATCTATGATATAATTCCCATTGGTTTCTATTTTCCATCTGTACACTGACAACTGCCTTTTCTGTTTAAAATCTTTACTTAATTCTGCATCTTTTAAATAAACAGATCACTTAATTTCCTTTCATTAGTGATGAAGGGGAAATAAAATAACTCTTACATGATTACATGATTTGTGGCAAGAGTTTAAAGCTTATTGACCAGGTTAACTAACAGGATTGGTGCCAGTGAGCATCCTCAGACAGCAAATCTCAGTGTCACACTAAATTTGGGGGTCTTATTGTTCAGCCTCAAATGTTGTGATATTTTCAGTCACTTTAAATTTCTTGGCACTGCTCTGCAGTAATTTAGCTCTGTCAAATTCAGTGTATCTAGTCAGTTTCTCACTATATCTGACAATTTTTTTTTTCCTGTTGGGTAGTGTGTCTTTGTCCTATAAAATGGAAGTTGTGTTCCATCCAGAATTGTTTAAATTGCAGTGATGAATTAAATTATTCCCATTGTAAACTGCAATGAATTCTGAGTGTCTGCCTGGTGATCTAACCTTAAATAAATGCAAGATATGACTCTAAGTAGCTTCAGTAGATAGGAAGCTACCTACTTGAAAAAACCTTCATTGCCCTAATGATAACTTCCGGTTTGTTTTAATGAAAAAGAAGAAGAAAAGTGAAATATAGTGCAATATATTTTAACACTCAGTGAAACTTTGCTTGAAAGAAAACACAGTGTAGAGAGCATATGTATATAAAATGGAACAGTGCACTTGTGTGAAGTTACAATCTAGATCTAAAGAATAATCTACTGTTGGTAGTGGTCATTTGCTTGCAGACTTCAGAAAATTTCCTTTTTTTTTCACTTAGGTTACCCATGTTCTAAATGTAGCATACGGAGTTCAAAATGCCTTCGTCGATGACTTTGTATACAAGAGCATTTCTATTCTGGATCTCCCAGAAACTGATATCACCTCCTACTTCCCAGAATGTTTTGAGTTTATTGAGAAAGCCAAGATCCAGGTACAGTATTTGCATAATTAATGCTATTAGTTATCCTGTTTAGATTATTTATTACCCTATTTGAAATCTAAAACAAAAAAGAAAGCATGCTACCAGATGAATATCTTTGTCATTGCTTTTTTAATTTTAACAATTCAAGCAATTTCTAAGCATTCCTAGAAACATGACCCTGCTCTTAACCCCCATTCCCTATCAGTATTACTTTTCTTAGAATGACTGACTTGCATGTTAGAGACAAAGCTGGAGTGATGTGTGCCTTCACCTAGAGAAATCCCATCTAAGTTTAAGTTACTGTATCTCACAGAGAGAAAAAGGAAAAGCTAAACATCTATCAGAGAGGTTACATTGAACTAGAAGGAAGTGTAACAGGAAGATAATAAGGCCTATATAGATCTTACAGTTTGTCAGCTGCCATCTACCATCCTTGTGCTTTTCCTTGACCATCCACTGAAAATGCAACACATTCAGCTGTGAAACCACATACAGTTACGTACAAAGATTATCAGAGGACTCTTTGTAGTCTTAGAGCCAACCAGTGATTTTAACTAATAATAAATCCTGAAAAAGTTGTGACATACTGGGGTGAAGGTTGGTTTTGGGGGGTGCTTGGCAGTCCTTTATATGGCCAAGATCATCTCTGGCTCATTTTTGTAAATTCCAGACTTACTGTATTTTCAGAAGACCCTCTGGTATAAACACAGTGTCTTCACACACAAACCTTATTGGGCATTATCCACCATATCTACCATATTCATTATTTACATAGTTGGGAATAAAAGAAGATAATCTTGTACTGGCTTTCTTTGTGTCACGGTGTTCTTTCCTTCTCTCATGCATCATTTACAAGCTATGTGATACGCTTGGTCGCTGAATGACCTTTTTTTAAGGTTTCTAGTTACAGTTTCTACTTCATTTCTACATGAGACTTGTCATTCATAACTGCAGCTGTGCTGCTACCCTGCCTCTGATGTTTATGCTGCAGTTACTGTTTCGTAAGCAAAGACACTTTCCTGAAACCTTCTCCAGCAATATTAATAGCCTTGTAATGGAAGAATTGGGTAAAAGATCAGATAATTGATAAGAATAGATATTCTGCAGGAGCAGTTGATGAAGTACGTGATAATAGTGTAGGAAAAGTCAGGTAGAAGATTGTGCTATAGAGATCAGAGCAGGGAGTTATTAGTAAGGAGAGATTAGTATCTGCTGTCTATTTCTTGTTTTTATTTTGTATTTCTATTAGATACAAAATTAATAGGAATTACATGCCAGATACATCTTTGTATAAAAAAAGCAACAGGGTTTAGCAAAGGAGGATAAATATGCTCAGTGGTAACTGTTTTATTGTTGTGTATGTGTTTTTGTTTCGGAATTAGTATGGAGCTTTTAATAAATATCTATAGATTTCATATTAAGCTTCCAAAACTTGTTACTATCTACTTAGTGATTATCTCAACTAGCGTGTTTGATTTGTTTCTTGTAGGATGGTGTGGTACTGGTTCACTGTAACGCAGGAGTCTCCCGTGCAGCAGCAATAGTCATCGGTTTTCTAATGAATTCAGAAGGACTCAATTTTGCTAGAGCCTTTTCTTTGGTGAAAAATGCAAGGCCTGCTGTGTGTCCAAATGCTGGCTTCATGGAGCAGCTTCACAAGTACCAAGAACACAATAAAAAGGCAAATGGAAGCATAAATGATCATGACTGATCAAAAGTGAGATGTTAAACAATCTGTTTTGACTATACAGTGACAGATGTTGGATACACCTCAATCTTGCAGTCTTTTTGCATTTTCTTTCCACATGTGCAGTTTAAATTCACTCTCTACGCTTTTTTTGCGTATTCCCTCCCCCATCTTTTTTTCAGCACCTAGTCTAGAGGCCAAATGGTGTCTTACTGTCTTCAGAGATTATTTGGCCTAAGAACAAGCTCTTCTTAGAGCAATGAAAGAAAATGTTTTCTTCTCTTTGTAGTATTAGAGAGAAAAAAAAAAAAGAATGATGGGCTTTATTGAACGATTGGACAACAAGGCATTAAAGGACATAAAATTATAATTGAGGTAATAAAGTTGTCCTGTTTATTTTAATACTAAGCCAAATCTTTATCCATTCTAGCTGAATTGTAAAACCTAGATAATAAAATGTTCCTGTAATAAAGTACCTTGCTATTAGGTCCTAAAATTATATTGCAAAGAAAGAAATGTTACTGAAATTCATGGGCTAGGCACCTGTTAAATATTTTTTAGAAATTAAACCAGATGGTCTATTGATTGAAGTTAAAAAGGCAGGGGGTGCTTTAATGCTTTATTTCTTTTTACCACTTGCCATCAAGTAATGATTTGAATAGCACCAACATGATATTTTTGACATGCCAGAACGATCATCAGCTTTTATTTTGTTAATTGCTTCAGCAGAGATACGATAAAAGGCTTAAAACAACTTAGCAACTTCTCTCTGACTGGCTGCTGTTTCTTTGAGCGCAGGCCCCGCAGCCGTGCTCTCACTGCCCAAAGGGAACAGCCGCGATGGGAGAAATAGCTTTGCCTTTTTATCTTACCCTCCTGGGACTGGAATAACCATCTTGAGGTGACACATTTTAAAAAAAACAGTCAATGTAAGATTTGGTGAATGCAGCTAGAGCTTGCTGTGGCCTTGCCCCCACCGCTGCCTGCCCGAGCAGCTGACAGACAGGGGAGAGCCCTGGGTCTGGCTGCGCGGCGCGAGCCCCGCTGCCCAGCCCCA